AAAGTGTCATATCGCGATATCAATGATATAGCGATGCAATGACATATAGCGCATTTACGTTCCCTAGCGCGCACAACAACAACACCACAAACCCAATAGGTGTGTGTTCGACTTGAAGCAGCACTACGCAGACTGATCGGTGTATGACATCAGAGTATTGCGAGAGTGGTTCTAGAGCATGTTCGAGCGCACACTCTTACCCCTTATTTACACTGCACACGTCTGCAGCGCGTTACGGCTCCGCCACCGGAGTTGATACCACTCTAGTCAATGCTCGTGTTTACACCAACCATGCCGCGGCACGTTTCAGAAGCGGCCCAGAAGCGGCTCTCCGCACCACTTTGCTAAAGATAGGCGCCTCGCCTATTTTTGACGGACATAAATAAGTGGCAAGTCACTCGCGGTATTTTGATGTCATATACCGATCGGTCTGCCTCAAGTCGAACACACAGCAGCTGCTGCCACCTTATGAAAATAGATTTACACTTTGAATTAGGTAGTCTGTCATCGATGACAGTAGCTCATTGCAAAAGGATGGAAAATGCGCTTCATTTTGTTTGCACTAATAAATGCTTCTGCCTGCCAGCTGCAGTCAATTTTTTCTATATTGTTATAAATATCGTTATCGCAAACATTCTTGAAATATCGTGATATAATTTTGAGGCTATATCGCCCACCCCTACTATGCAGAGTGTTTTCATCAAAAACCTTAATTTCTTTTCGACTGAAGAAAGAAAGACATGAACATCTTGGATGACATGTGGGTGAGTAAATTATCAGGACATTTTTATTCTGGAAGTGAACTAATCCTTTCATATCATTTTGTGAAGAAGACACAAAAGACCAAATGCAATTCTACATTTGCGCACTGTCAAAGAGGTGTCTTTCTGTGTGTGTGCGCTATGGGTGTGTGCACACAACTGTTTATCAGACATTGCCCGACTAATGAATTGAGTTCTCCTTTGCATTTTCTTGCGCTTGAATGGTCTAAAATTGCTTTAATATTTAAATTCCTGAATATCTTTCATGCTGTCCCAGAGCCATCGAGCAGTCTTTATTAACACCTGGTCTTTAGAGTTTTTCAGATAGTAAAGGTTTCTTGCATCAAAAATGGTTTGGCTGTAATTGATGGATTCTTATGAAATGTTTTAAATAGCAATCACAATAATACATAAACATGAATGAATTGTGCCGATAGATAGGACCATTTTTCACATCTTTACACAAGACTGTGGTTCCAAGCTTGTTCAGTCTTGTCTAATTGTTGTGCTTGACACAGTCAGAATTTACATTTACATAATAGTTTTTGCCCTCTCTCTGGCCTGTAGAATGAAACAGGCTGTTTTTGTTATAGTACTTTTAAGATTCTGTTTGCAAATGACATCTGTTTTCATTGGCTAACCTTTTGTAAATGTGAACGGCCCTGTCAAGTTGCATATAGAATAAGTGTGGATGTGGTTATATGTTAATAATCAACAATTCTGGCATGATTTGCTCAATCTCTAATCTGTTAGAGATAAACAGTAAAAGCAGTAAAAAGAATAATGTTTACGAAATTCACAAAATTTCTTCAGTTTACATTATTTAGCACAGCAGTATGCAACTGCTGCATATTTGTCAACCATGACACATTTACATGCATTGAGCAAAAATGTAGAGTTGCACTTGATTTAATCTGCAATTTATTGGATTGGAGAAGTCATTTTAGGCATAGCATTTTGACAAAAGATTACAAAGGCAATTTTTGAATAATATGCAGTGATGAATTGTGTAATAATACATTAAATTAAAATTTCGATTCCATGTTGACATTAATGAGGAGCTTCTCTCTTAACTCTTAACTCCTATCTCTTAACTCATTTGTCCATTTAATAACAGGCCATTAAACCCCTAAATACATAAAAAGTAATAGTGTGACATGGCGAGACCCTCTTCCAAAGGCCAATTTCTCCATCTCTTCCAATGACTTTGTACACTCAAAGGGAGCCTTGTGACCATATGAATGAAACCATGTTGCTGCTCATTTAATCATTTACATAAAATGTGCATGAGGGTCAAACCTGATTTGTTTTTAAGAATTTTAAGTGGTGTTATATAGTTAAAGACCAACCCGGGAGGGGGGAAGAGAGGAAGATAAAGCGGCCTCATTTCATGATCAATTATTAATACCATATAATCACTCTGTTTTCTGGCTACAACTGAAGCAGTTTGAAACTCATCAGAAAAGCTTCAATCAGGAAACCGTTGACGTAAACCACTGAACAAAATCATGTACATGCCCTTTTATGACCTCAAACTGTATGACACAATCAAATACAGTGGCCCCCAAAAAATATTTGGACACTTAAAAATGAAAAGTCACAATTAAAAATGCCACAGTGTAGTGAAATATATATATATTTTTAAATCACATTTATTTTAAAGATATATAGCCCAAACACACTTTTCAATTAAAAAAAAAAAAAAATTATATATATATATACACATACACACAAAAGAGAGAGGAAAAATAATAACATAAAAAGAATAAAATATTTATTTAAAAAACAAAAAAATGTCATAATTTACTCTGATATCATTTAGAAAATGCAGCCCATGTTCTATAATACAGTAAACTCTCATGTAGCTCTACAATCACATTTGTATTTGCTTACATTCAAATATGGCAGATAATGCTACATTATGCTACAGTGCAATATTTTCAGTGATTAATGTCCAAAATTTAAGTTAAATATGGCCACATAAGCTTTATATATAGCAAACAACTTGTTTTGTGGTGCTTTTTGTCATCTGACAGCTCCAGTTCACTTGCTTATAGTTTGGAAAAGCGCTGCATAAAGATTGAAGTTTGAGAAGTTGAAAAAAACGAGTTTGGAAGATTAGTAAATGATAATCTATTTGCTAAGCTAACGTTAGTTAATATTCTTGGAGATGCCAGCATCTCGTTCTGGGCATCAGTATCAAAAACACAATGTATGATGGTGGCCACCACTCATTTTAAACAGTAATGCTGAGAACACATATTTCTCTGAAGAGATCTCATCTTCTCTAATTAAAACAAGCATATATCAACAGCATTAAAGCTGATTGTTATCTGCAGTGCAGCTTTGTGCTTTTTGCCAGCAGCATTATGAAGTAGCTGTAAGCTCTCCATGTATTTATGCAGCATTGCTATCAATACCAGCCTCCTACACACTGCCTCTATATCGCTGCAGGTCCACACACTCCCAATTGCCTCTGTGTAAATCCTACTGTCTCTTTGCATATACCTGAGCAGCAAATGCAAATCTCAGCCACTGGCCACTGCCTTCCCACTCTGTTCACTTCAATGCATTCTCTCTTCATAATCACAATCATTTCAACCAGTCTATCAGGTGTGTGGCTCACCGGCAGCGTTACTGCAAGGCTGAATTAATTGCACGTTAGGCTATACTTGCTCAAATTGACAGAGCTCTATATCAATCAGGACAATTATTCTGCCAACATTTGGCCATTTTGAGTTTATTCACTGGTAATCGTGTCTGTTTGGCTGAATTTCTGTTTTATTTTGTTTTGTTTTGTTTATTGAGTACTTTGGATTTTACGAAATTTGAAAAAAGTGAAACTGATCATGTAAAATATGAATATTTCATTTCAGCAATTTCTGTTAATCTCAGTCACTCTGAACTTACATTACTAGATCAGTGGTTCTTAAAGGTGCAATAGGTGATTGTCTTCAGAAACATTTTTTGTTATGCTGGTTGAAAGTCTCTTCACATCCCGATAGCAATCATTAACTTAAGTGGTCTAAATGTATTTATATGTATTTATATATTCTGTGGAAGGCGTAGGACCAAAAAATGTTCGTCCAATCAAAACGCTCGCTCCGAGCATTTTAAATGGCTTTCCTACCTGCCTGTCAACGTATGTATTAGCATACCTCTGCGCACCCGGTTCGCGCAGACATGATACGTCATCAGCGCGTTCACGCACGCTGTGCACACAGAGCTAGAATGGCAGACAAACGTCAACAACCCGATCTTCCTTCCTGGTATTGTAGTACTTTTAAAGTTTTCTCACCGGTGAATGACACATGATGTAGCCCAGCGGTTCCCAATTCCAGTCCTCGCTTATTTAACACACCCGATTCAGGTCTGTGAGCGTATATGCGTTCAGGGGGCGTGGCTTTGGACGGCGATTGCAGAGAGGGTGGGACGTTGGCTTTCAGTGCTATCAGGCTAAAGTTAGCATTTTCCAAGATCTCCTACTGCACCTTTAAGTGGTGGTCAATTTAAATTGTATATATTTATTATTATTACTATTTAATTTAATTTAATTTTGTAAATTAAATTACATTTTCTATTAAATTTCTAATTAAAGTAAAGTAAAATTATTTTTTATTTAAATTAAAATTAAATAAATATTTATGCAAATAATAAAACTTTGGCACACTGAGCATATTCTCAATGCTTACTGCTCAATTGTTTCTCAGTTCTCAATCATTTCTGCATATTGCTGAGCCTGTGTACTTTATGAATACATTTCAGTGTTTAATATTTATGGACATTTTTGTTTACTTAGTTTATGCTTAACAGTTTTGGTACTGTGCTGGGTCACGACGTCATGTTCAGTGAATCTCAAGCAAATCTGCTGTTCTAGATATCAGTATCTGCCATTGCAAAACTCGGGTTGCCCACTAATCTGTACGCAATTACTGTGCATTTTCTTTGAATTTGGCTTAAAAGGAAAAGCTTTACCAATCCTGGGGTGTGCCTTTAATATTTTTAGGACGTTGTCGATGGTATTGTCCATTTCGTTGTGGTCAACTAATGGTTTTGTCTCTTCAGTTTCCTTTCCAAAGCGAGAAGAAGAAAGGAAAGTGCTATTGATTTTTATTGTATTCATCGAATGTCTCAAATGATATTTACTCATTTGTGTGTGTGTGTGTGTGTGTGTGTGTGCTTAACTCCAACTTTCCAAAGCCCTTAGTCACTCTGTTTCATGTTGCTGTATTTCCACAGAGAAAGACTACAACAGCCTTTGTGAGAGGCAGCCAATCGGATGCTTGCTATTCCGGCAGTTCTGCGACACCAGGCCGGAGTTGAGGCGCTGTGTCAAATTTTTGGATGCTGTGGTGAGAAGCAGACCACTAATTGTTCTTCACTTTAAAGGCAAAACATGTTTGTTTCTTCTCTTTACGAACAACCCGCCTTGGATACAGTGAAACTAGCAAGTTGAGGGTAGTTCTAGAGCAAATATTTCTATAGGAATTACCTTAACACTTTGCTACCCATAACATACTGTGAGGTCATTGTGGTGTTTAGGTAGGCTTATTTAGACTTATGAAGGATTTAAAAATTAGATTAAAAAAGTTATTAATTGAATGGAACAGCTCTGGCTTTGGAAGCCTTTAAATGCTGTTCACACCAAGGGCGATAACTATAACTTTAATAATAATTTTTATTCTATGAGAATAGGGAAGTCCACACTACAGATATAATGATAAGGACACGAGAGGAACAACATTGTTGGAATCACTTTTAGAACATTTATTTTTTCCAGCTGATGAATGATAAAAACATTAACTGTCACTCAGAATCCACCTGACATGAAAGAACTTGTTAATTTTAAGCAACAGATGCCATAACTGAAGCAAGCTTTTTGTAATAAACAGAACGTTATCGTCTGTAAGTGTGGATGCTAACAAAGATATTGTTGCAAATATTTATATGCTTATTAGGGGTGTAACGGTTAACAAAATTCACGGTTTAGTTCGATACGACACTGGTGTCCCGGTTCGGTACGTTTTCGATGGGGGGGTAATTGCTTACTTCACAATGTTGGAAATATTTCTGTTTTAAACCATGAAGGTGAGCCAATGGATATCACATAAGCAACGTGCAAACTTTGCACAAGAGTTATGCCGGTGAACGTCTTAATCTCAGTCAATTCACTATGCAGAAAGTGAAAGTAAAAACGGAATGACGGAGTAAGGCTATGTTCACACTTGGCGTCTTTTTTGAAGCTGCCAGAGTCTGTTTTACATTATAATCCTATGGAGTAAACCGGGTTTTCAAAAAAGTCCTGAGCGCTTTTTTAAACGCCACCGCCGGCGTCTTTTTCTGCAGCTCAGAACATCTTTTCAAGTTGAAAAAAGTTTAACTTTTCTGAAAAAAATGCCCTACGTCAAGTGCCTTTTTGACAGCTGACCAATGACAAGCGAGTAGCGAGACCTGTTGTTTCCATAACAACAAAAACAAGAAAAAATGGAGAAGGTGCCGGTAGATAAACCGATCGTACTAGTTTCGGAGCACAAGGAGTTATATGATATGAGCACAAAATATTTAGTATAATAATAATGTTTTAATGTTTAGTCTAAAATATGCCGCAAACCGTGCATCATCCAACCGGAGCTCCTGGACTAAATTGTTGTAAGCACCATACTGGTTCCTTCCCCGTGTAATGTCGTGCATCCACAAACGGCATTGTAAACCGTCATTCTCTTCCCCGTTAACTTCAAAAGCCAACGCAAGAGCCAATTTCCTCTTTCTCGACATTTTTGCACCACACAGCGCTAGGCTACTGTTGCAGCTGTTGCTATAGCAACAAAAGACGCCCTCGGCTGCTATTTGTAACAGAAACGTTGCCAGCTTTTTTTTTTCACTAAAAAACACACTTGTCAACTTTTTCTTGTCAAAAAAGACGGCAAGTGTGAACGTAGCCTAATGATTGAGCTTTCGGCATCTGACGCCGCATATTCTCTAAGAGACGACGAGAGACGAATCTACTTCAACATATGCTTATAACGGTATATAGCTAACTGTTTTAATTTAGTCCCTTAATATTTCTCTTGTGGCCCGTACATAGTGAAAAAAAAATGAGAAGAAACGTATTTCGTGTTAAATGGGTTGTTTTTGAAAGTCAGTGCTTGAAATAGGCATAGATTTACATTTCATAAATTTCATAGATTTTTATTAATGACTGCAGTGTTAATATTTTGATTATAGGCCTATTCATTGTATAATAGACCTGTTTTAAATTACCTTTTTTTACAACATGGTAATTGAGGAGTAAATAGCCTAATCTTTTGTTATCCTGTAGTTATGCGGTAATATTGCGGGGCAAATTAATTGTAATTTTACAATTAATGTAAAATGATTAGTACAACGAATCATTCGGTTTGTAATGCGTACCGAACCGAAAGCCTCGTACCGAACAGTTCAATACGAATACGTGTATCGTTACACCCCTAATGCTTATCATTCTTGGTGTGAATGGGCGAAGCTAGTAAAATTTAAAAGTTGACCAGCAGAGTTCATAACCAAATATCACAGAAAACCAAATGTTTCAGTTTGTAAGGCACAAAAAATGCACACATAGTCAAAATTATAAGGTATAGTGCTGACCCAATGAAGAAAGTGAAAATGTAATAATGTGTAAAATAAGCTATCTCATTTCAGCAATTTTGTTTAAATCTCAGTCGCTGCAAATTACCTAAATTGTCTTACATGTATATCGGCATTATGTCACTCTAAATCAGTGGTTCTTAAATGGTAGTCCATTAAATGAAATTAAATATCACAGAAAACTAAATGTTAAAGCTTTCAAGGCATAAAATGCATGTACATAGTCAACAAGCTGTAAAATGCAGGATGTAAGCAATAGCACTGACCTAATAAAAAAAGTGAACTTTCGGTTAAGTGGACTCTCAAACAGGCCTTTTTTATTATTGAGCCCTGTAACAGAGTTCAGTTCCAACAATCATGAGCTTCCTTTTCTGTTAGTCTGCTGCCTTAGAAGGCTGCTGCCTATGTAGACAGTAGTCACTCATAAAGATTTTTAACAGAGCAAATGTCTTTTGAATCAAAGCAATCATAGATTTCTTCTCACATTCATTTGGCCTCTAATACAGTTTATAAAAGTATTGCCTGCCTCTATTTTTTTTCTCTGCCTTCACCCTTTTCAGAAGTTGGGTAACCCAACACCTCAAGTGAATGCCAACTAGCAAGTCCAACTTATAAGAAATGTCTGAATTTCTTGTCCACACCCATAACTTAAAAGCTTGACACAGTGGCCTTGGTGATAAAATCACATTCAAACAAAAAATCATCTCCAACTAATTTGAGGTCAGTTCTGTCGTTCAAAATCCTGCATTTTAAGGCAAATCTTCTATTTGTAAATATTTTGACGTGACATGCCATTTCAGATATGGAATGCAGACTACCGCTTACTCTGTTCCTGCAAGCTAGAACATAAACATCACAACGTGCATATCGTCTTACACGTACATGCGCACGCCCACGTGAAAAAACTTGCTGGTGTTTGCTCCACCTTTAAAGACCTTGATGTTGCATGTTCAGTGGAGAAGCCACTGAACCACTACTTTTTGAAGTTTTATAAATAATGTTAATGTAAAACCAGATTGTACACACATTCTGAAGCAAATATGACTGGTGCATGCCTCTGCCACAGTTCTAGGGTGTTGTGGGTGGTTGCCAGCACATTGATATGTCATTGCTGCAGTGGTTGCTTGCTGGCCCAAGTCAAAATGCAAATCAAGTCTGGTCCCTCCTTCAATATTTGTGTTTTTCAAATAACTGAGACCACAGTCAGTTGCATGTTTAAAAATGATCAAGACAAGTAATTGATTGGTATGCATTTTAGTCAGGTGGTAAAGCCTTCAGTGTTGCAGATCAGAAAATAAGGCTTTGTAGAAATGTCCCCTCATATAGGTTATGTAACATAATGTTTGTGATACAGTGAAAAAATGTAGTTTTGTTGTGTAGTTTTGCTAGTGATTTCATTTGTTTTTGTTGCTTTTGATTGATCATTGTATTTTTCAGAACATTAAGAAGTTATAAAATTATGTTGAAATCAACTAAATGGTTTGAAATCCAGTCATCCATACAGCTTTGTCATGATTTTGTATTGACTGTAAATGTGCAATATGGCTGTTTTTTTTGTTTGTTTTTTTTCAATGCCTGCAGTTACAGATAGGACATAGAGCACTCTGTAAACTAAAAACAAAGCTGAACTGAAATTGAACCTTTACTGAATCATAATAATGTAAAGTCATCATAAGTTTATATATAATGAAGAATGTAGAAATCACAAATATTACAGCTAATTGTTCTCCATCATTTCAGGCGGAGTATGAAGTAACGCCAGATGAGAAGAGGAAGGAGTGTGGACAGGAGCTCTTAGACAAGTACCTCAATCAGAAGGTACTGAGATGAGAAGCACATGAAAGACCTAAATCAGCTGGTCATTTTAGAGTTTGTTGTAAAGATAATAGGGATGCTCATTTCAGTTAATTTTCCTGACCGACAACCACTGCTCGTTAACCGAACATTAACCGTTAACTGATCAAATTAGAACTAGTTAAAAAAGTTCGTCAAGACAAACTTTTAAGTTGGCTTGAGAAAGCTGGACCAGAAAGTTTGAAAAAGTTTAAAAGGATTCAAAAGTTTTAAATTTGATGGTTTTCAGTCTGAAATAATTAGAAGTTTAAAGTAGTTTTAAAAGCTTAAAGTTTGAATGTTTTGAAGGCAATACAGTCTGTCAGAGATAGATAGATAGATAGATAGATGCTAAGGACCTCAGAGTGGTTGCTATGGTATTCTAGGTGGTTGCTTTGACGGTTGCTAGGCTAACTGGGGTGGTTGCTAGGGTGTTGCTTTGCGGTTGCTAGGGTACATGGGGTGGTTGCTAAGGCGGTTGCTAGGGTACCAGGGGTGGTTGCTAGGGTGTAGTTATGTGGTTGATAAGGTACCCGGGTGGGTTGCTAGGGTACCTGGGGTGGTTGCTAAGGTGTTGCTATGTGGTTGCTAGGGTACTTGGGGTGGGTGCTAGGCTGTTGCTCTGCAGGTGCTTAGGATTAGCAAGTAAATAGCATGTTGCTAGCATGATTAGCAGGTTAATAGCATTTTGCAAGTATGATTAGCATGTTGCTAGCATGATTAACAAGTAACTAGCATGTTGTTAGCGTGATTAACAAGTGACTAACATGTTGTTAACATGCCTAGCAAGTGACTAGCATGTTTCTAGCCTGATTAGCATGTTACTAGCATGTTGCTAGCATGATTAGCATTCTACTAGTATGTTTGCTAGCATGATTAACAAGTGACTAGCATGTTTATAGCATTATTAGCATGTTACTAGCATGTTGTTAGCATGATTAGCATGTTGTTAGCATGATTAACAAGATGCTAGCATTTTTCTATCATGATTAGCATGTTGTTAGCATCATTGGTAAGTTACTAACATGTTGCTATCATGATTCTAGCATGATTAGCATGTTACTAGCATGGTGTTACCATTTTGTTAACATTATTAGCAAGTTACTAGCATGTTTCTACCATTATTAGCATGTTACTAACCTTTTGTTAGCATGATTAGCATGGTGTTAGCATGATTAGCAAGTTACTAGCATGTTTCTACCATTATTAGCATGTTACTAACCTTTTGTTAGCATGATTAGCATGGTGTTAGCATGATTAGCAAGTTACTAGCATGTTTCTACCATTATTAGCATGTTACTAACCTTTTGTTAGCATGATTAGCATGGTGTTAGCATGATTAGCAAGTTACTAGCATGTTTCTACCATTATTAGCATGTTACTAACCTTTTGTTAGCATGATTAGCATGGTGTTAGCATGATTAGCAAGTTACTAGCATGTTTCTACCATTATTAGCATGTTACTAACCTTTTGTTAGCATGATTAGCATGGTGTTAGCATGATTAGCAAGTTACTAGCATGATTGTAGCATGATTAGCAAGTTACTACCATGTTGCTAGCATGATTCTAGCATGATTAACATGTTACTAACATGATTAGCATGTTCCTAGCATGATGGTAGCATGTTTCTAGCATGTTTAACAAGTTGCTAGCATTGTTTCTAGAATGATTTGCAAGTTACTAGCATGTTGTTAACATGATTAGCATGTTTCTAGCATTTGTTAACATGATTAACAAGTCAATAGCATGTTTGCTAGTTTGATTCTAGCATGCTTAGCATGTTACTAGCATTATGCTAGCATGTTTCTAAAATGTCTAACAAGTTGCTAGCATTTTTAGCATGGTTAACAAGTTACTAGCACGTTTCTAGCTTATTAGCATGTTACTAGCATGTTATTAACATGATTAGCAAGTTACTAGCATGTTGTTAGCATGATTCTAGCATGATTAACAAGTTACTAGCATTTTGTTATCATGATTAGCAAGTTATTAGCATGTTGTTAACATGATTAGCAGGTTAATAGCATGTTGCTAGCATGATTAGCATGATTCTAGCATGGTTAACATGTTACTAGCATGTTTCTAACATGTTTAACAAGTTGCTAGCATTTTGTTAGCATGATTAGCAAGTTACTAGCATGTTTCTAACATGATTAGCATGTTACTAGCATGATGTTAGCATGATTAGCAAGTTACTAGCATGTTTCTAACATGATTAGCATGTTACTAGCATGATGTTAGCATGATTAGCAAGTTACTAGCATGTTTCTAACATGATTAGCATGTTACTAGCATGATGTTAGCATGATTAGCAAGTTACTAGCATGTTTCTAACATGATTAGCATGTTACTAGCATGATGTTAGCATGATTAGCAAGTTACTAGTGTAGGAAACTTTTTCCTCGTCGAAGCAGAGACCAGGAGACTCTTGGGTATCTTCAGCAGAGTTCTTTATTGAGAGTAGCATGTTTCTATGCTAATCCAGCTAAAACAAGTTGATTCATTTAAAAAAAAACAGCTAAAAACCAGCTCAGACCAGCCTGGCCTGCTAAAAAAAAGTGGCCAAAACCACTTTAAAACCAGCTTGGGAGACCAGCCAAAGCAGTCAATCAGCTTAGGCTGGTTTTAGCTGGGTTTTTTTCACTAGGGAGTTGTTAAGCTTTGCTATAGCAATAGACAGCTTAAATACACCATAAGTCTTATTGTATAAAAGTTTTCACCCCCTCAATGAAAGTCTATGGGATTTTAGGTGGTTTTGATAGTCTGGTTTACGAAAACCGTAAGCCAGATCAGTTAGAAAAGATATAGCAACCCAAGTCAGACCAGTCTGAAAGTCTGACCCGAGTTTGGTGGTTGTAGCTTTAAAAGTCTAGGAGGAGATACATTTTAAAATTTGGTCTCAGAAGAAGAAGAAGAAGTTTAAATAGGATTTCAGTGAGTTGGCTTTTTCAAGCCAACTTAACTAGATAAAAAAGTTTGTCAAGACAAACTTTAAAGTTAGCTTGAGAAAGCCAGACCAGAAAGTTTGAAAAAGTTTGAAAAGTTTAAGTTTGACGTTTTCAGTCTGAAATAGTTTGAAGTTGACGTTTTCAGTCTGAAATAGTTTGAAGTTGAAAGTAGTTTTAAAAGCTTAAAGTTTGATTGATAGATAGATAGATAGATAGATATATGCTAAGGTCCTCAGAGTGGTCGCTAGGATGTTTCTATGTGGTTGCTAGGGTACTCTTGGTGGTTGCTAAGGTGTTGCTATGCATTTGCTAGGGTACCCTGGGCTGTTGCTAGGGTGTCGCTATGCGGTTGCTAGGGTACTCTGGGCGGTTGCTAAGGCATTGCTATGTGGTTGCTAGGGTACCAGGGGTGGTTGCTAGGGTGTTGCTATATGGTTGCTATGGTATTCAGGGTGATTGCTTGGTTAGTTTGGATGGTTGCTAGAGTGTTGCTATGAAGATAGATAGATAGATAGATAGATAGATAGATAGTGGCGCCACAAATAAATCAATGTAAGGGAAACACTGGTGTAAGTCTGACTGGGGAAGAAATTAATGATCCTGTAACCACAATCAAAGTTTTACTGTTATTAATGTCTTTCAGTGTCATTCTTCGCCTGAAAAGATGGCGAATAAAACGAAAGAGGCTGTGGCTGAAGCACGCTTTAAGTGAAATATGCGCATCGTCATGGCAACGGTTCGTGGCCACGTCAGATTACGTCAGAGTTTGTTGTAGTTTGTTGGAAAATCATTTCACACTGCTCAGACATTCCACGACCCAACAAATGCCAATTAAGCATGTTCAGTCGGGTGAAAACAAACTCCAACCAATGCCAACAGACGCCGACAAACTCCAACAGACTAGTTTGTTGGTGTTTGTCTGTGCATTGTGAATTGGCCTTTAGAGTCAACGTTTTTAGTAAGAAGAATAATAATAAGTTTAAATAGCATTTCAGTAAGTTGGCTTTTTCAAGCCAACTTAAAGGGATAGTTCACCCAAAAATGAAAATTTGATGTTTATCTGCTTACCCCCAGGGCATCCAAGATGTAGGTGACTTTGTTTCTTCAGTAGAACACATATGATGATTTTTAACTTTAACCGTTGCAGTCTATCAGTCGTATAATGCATGGCAATGGTAACAAAATCTATGAGAGTAAAAAAAACATGCACAGACAAATCCAAATTAAGCCCTGCGGCTCGTGACTGCACACTGATGTCCTAAGACACGAAACTATCGGTTTGTGCCAGAAACCGAACAGTATTTATATAATTTTTTACCTCTAATACACCACTATGTCCAACTGTCTTTGGGCGCGCACACGGCATCCGGTGCGTGAGGTGTGTACGCGCTCTGGCGTAGTTTACGCAAGCGCCGGAAGTGATCTCTTTGATTCTGACAGCTAATCAAAATGGTACTTACTTGCGCTTATCCGGATTGTTCAAACCGACTTAAAACTAAAAGATTACGTTCTCTCGCACGAACTCATTCGGGAGTGGTGACTTTCCACGTATTCCCAACTTCTGAGCCTGCTCGCCTGAAGTTACGGTTGATTGCTCTTCGGCTGGATATCAACACACCCATTAACGTAAACTACGCCAGAGCGCGTACACACCTCACGCACCGGATGCCGTGTGCGCGCCCAAAGACAGTTGGACATAGTGGTGTATTAGAGGTAAAAAAATTATATAAATACTGTTCGGTTTCTGGCACAAACTGATCGTTTCGTGTCTTAGGACATCAATGTGTCGTCACGAGCCGCAGGGTTTAATTTGGATTTGTCTGTGCATGTTTTTTTTACTCTCATAGATTTTGTTACCATTGCCATGCATTATACGACTGATAGACTGCAACGGTTAAAGTTAAAAATCATCATATGTGTTCTACTGAAGAAACAAAGTCACCTACATCTTGGATGCCCTGGGGGTAAGCAGATAAACATCAAATTTTCATTTTTGGGTGAACTATCCCTTTAATAAGTTTAAGCCAGATTTCAGTAAGTTGGCTATCTCAAGCCAACTTAATAACAAGTTTAAGTCGGATTTCAGTAAGTTGGCTTTCTCAAGCCAACTTAATAATAATAAGTTTAAATAACATTTCAGTAAGTTGGCTTTCTCAAGCCAACTTAATAATAAGTTTATTAAATAACATTTCAGTAAGTTGGCTTTCTCAAGCCAACTTAATAATAAATTAGTATTAAATAAAAATAGAATGGACAAGTATCTGTGATGATACATAAAAAATGCAAACAAATATTTTATTTTAACGTGCAAATAGAAGCATACAGAGCAAAAGAGCAACAACAAAAACTGGATTCACACATCTTCAAATTATCACGCACCAGCAGCGCTTCTGAGAACAGAGAAAATCAGAATAAAATAATATAAATAAAAAAAGAATAAAATAAATAGCCCTACACTAAATATATAGCCTATAAATTAAATTATTATCTAATTAAGATGACAAAACTAAAACACACACTGAATTCTTCTATGCGCTCTGAAGAACGGTACTGGTTTTGTTGTTCCCGTCAGACATAAAACTATATAGCAGGCCTACCTCAGTGTACAGTTGTTTTTTGTTTTTTTTTAAGTAACATGTGGACATGCTGTACAGATAGACTGGAGCGCTGCCTGTTAACTGTTAGACCCGCGGCAAAAACACCATCACAAAAATCCCGTCAATTTGCGGTTCGGGACTTTTCATCCACTGGCCATATGTTTCTATTCACAGCGCGATTTTGCAGCGTTGAGCAATATAGCCAATCACAGACATATCTGTTGATTTCAGTAACGCTCTGTGGCCAATCAGAGGAGGTTAAGTTTCAATCCTTTCACCATCCAAAATGCCAGTGTTCCTCAGTTCTGCTGACGCGTTCGCGAACTCTCTCATTAAAACAAAGAAAGTGTAGACATGATGTAAATAAGAGATTAACTGTGCAGTGTAAAGGTCCTTTTATTACTTTTTATTAACTTTGTGAGATCGCGATGAACTACAATAAGATGAGTGACAGCTTTCTAGTGATAATAAGGGGAGCGCCTATTGCGCACTTTCTAGGCTATAATAATCCATTCTGAATTTGAATACACTGACAGATTTACTCTCTGATAACCATTTATCCAATATTGCCACTTGCCATTGTGTCCCTGAGGTAACTAGCCTACATCAGTTAACTAAGTGAAGGTGAAGCAGGTGCTTGCTCAGCGAAATATGTCTGTATAGCCTAGGCACGCACCCGTGAGTAAACAAATAACTTCTATAGCATTATGTTTTCTTTCACCATGCAGTAAACGTAAAAAAATAAAATAGTAGAAAAAAAAAACTGATTAGTATTCATCGGTTAATATTCTTACTGTCGGTTAATGGTTAAACGTTCAATATGAGCATCCCTAAAAGATAACTATGTAATGTGTCGTATATCATAATTTAAATGCAGTTGTTTTTTTATTTCCGTTTTGCTTTGTTCATAGCATAATTCATGAGCATGTAAGCATTTATTTGTTTTTAAAGGATATTTTCATGTTCAAATTCTTCCATTTGCAGTCAGAGGACTATGTCCCTGAGGTAACAGAGGAGATGGTGACTAAGTGTGCAGAAAGCTTGCAACAGGAGGCATGTAAAGAGCTCTTCATGGAGTGCACCAAGTGAGTCTTTTAGACAGGAAACACTCTTATCCCATTAGATGGCACTAGTAGATACTCCTACACTGCCACTGTCTGACAAATACATGGCATCAGAGCAACATTTTTCTGAGTGAAACGAAATTGAGCATTTTCATGCAAATCAATTAATTAAATCAAGATGTGAGAGTCAGATTTTTTCACTGTGCAATCTAGTAACACTTTATCTCAATGTTTTCTTTCTTGTAGACTGATCCATGACTTCCTGAGCATGGCCCCCTTCGCAGACTACCTCGATAGTATGTACTACAGTCGCTTCTTACAGTGGAAATGGCTTGAGAGGGATAAACAGCGCCTGAACGCTTTTTTTAACTTTTTGGTTTTGTTTATAATGTACAAACTCAGGGATTTTCTGTAGTTCTGAACTCTCATATGCATGGTAAATGACAGAAATTATATGTAGCTAAGAAGGGTTTTTTTCACCGCCAAGTAGAGTCTAATTATTCCTTCGGGTGTAATGATTTATTTATGAAGCTAAGCTTATACAAACCAGATGTGAACTCTGAACTTGCTATTTATTTACTTTTAGTCATAAAAATGTCCTCTGACTGAAAGTCTAAGCCAGGCCTGGACAATTCCCATCCAGACCTTTTACAGAGAAGAATATGATATGCCGGAACAAATACTTTCACTCTCGTGTACACATTAAGAGGCCTAGTACACTAGCCATCTACTGAATACGTAAAAAAGGGTCTTAATTAGATTAAAGCCATGCGTTTTAACATTGTGCGTCAGTGTCTTTTGAGATATAAGCTTCTTGTGAAGGCAACAGGAAGTTATTCTACTGTAAAAGTATGTTATAATTAAATAAGACAAGGTCATGTTCGTTCTTATGAAATGTAACTTTTGTTTATTATTCTCTTCCTCTCCTCGACAGAGAGCCAGTCACAAAAAACACATTCCGTCAGTATAGGGTTTTGGGAAAGGGAGGCTTTGGCGAGGTGAGTCTGAAATGATTAAGCATCGCTCTGTTTATGGCAGAAACATATTGAGGCGTTATTAGTTATCATCTAGAATGCCACTAAATCAACGCTATCTGTCTACTCCAGGGTTCATAAGGCTAATATGCTATTTTTGTTACGCTATCAGACATAAATCCTTCAGATTATCATACACATTGCCATTCAATGTTGGCAGATATAGAGAATGCAAGTCTCCAATTCTGATTTCCCTACCAGATAGCTAATCGCATTGAGAGTCTTTTTATTACTGTCCGCTGCCCTGTAGAAAGTCCTTTTAGATTAATCCCTTTAGGGAACATATCAGAGTCATATAAGCTATTTTTTGCATTAGTTTTATGACCGTTTTAATTTTAAAAAAAATTGAATTGTAGTACTTTTTTTATCCTGAAGTAACATTGAAAATAAGAATTTCAACAAAAAATAATAGTGTAATTATAATAAAATGCCACAATGCAACATTTTAAGGCAAGATAATGAATCCCAACAAACCAAAAACAATTATCAAACTGATCAAAAATCACTTCCCTCTATCCCCCAAAAAAGCATGAAATATCTCTTTGTATACTGGCTAGTACAGCCTCATCACATTTGTATGACAATTTACATAAATTAGAATTTCATGTAAGAAAGTTACAAATAAATGCCCCCCCCCCCATCTCCCACTGTGCTTTTATTTATTTTAATTTTTTTATTTTTTGCACCCAAGGTCTGTGCATGCCAGGTGCGGGCCACAGGGAAGATGTACGCCTGCAAAAAGCTGGAGAAGAAACGCATTAAAAAGAGGAAAGGAGAGTCCATGGCGCTGAATGAGAAGCAGATTCTGGAGAAAGTCAACAGTCGGTTTGTTGTAAGCATCTGCAGTGCTTATTTCACCCGATCTTGCGTGTGTTTTGTTGGAGCGTAACCTTATCTTTCTATCTCTTCTACACGTTTTCTACAAAAAAAAAAACGTGAAGTCGCTGTAGTTCCGACTTCTGTTTTTGGGCTGATTAGCTCACAGAGGCCCTGCTTTTGTCATTTCCTGTGAGATCACAGGAGATCTGAGTGCTCGTTCTGGATCTTCAAATTCATACAAATTAAGGCATGGAGATCTGATGTAGAGAGATTATAGTTTTACTGTTGTTTCTATTTAATGTTTACATTCAGAATCCTACACTTTATTTAAAAAACAGAAACCGAAAAAAAAAAAATTTATATCAAATTGAAAAGATGATGTCCAACAGTCTTTCAAAACCTTAACATCTGATAGTAACCCCTATTTTGATTAAATAATAACTTTGTATTTGGGGTTTGTGTATCCAAAGGCCTGACCTCAAGCACGCTATTTTGAGTTGTTTTGTTTGGCGGTTATTCTCGGGATTTTCTCTTAATTTATCCTCCATTTTTAGACACTTTCCCACACAGGCTGTATCAAATATGGGAATTCTGTTTTGTAACTGAACCAATGTACCTTTCTGTTTTCCCATGGAGGTGAGTCTTGCGTATGCATACGAGACGAAAGACGCCCTGTGTTTGGTGCTCACGCTGATGAATGGAGGGGACCTGAAGTTCCATATCTACCACATGGGAGAGGCAGGTTTTGACGAGAAGAGAGCTGTGTTTTATGCTGCTGAGATCTGCTGCGGGTTAGAAGACCTCCATCGTGAGAGGATAGTATACAGGTGAAAAGATTCAGACTGAATTGTGGTTTACAAGGGATTGTTTGCAACAACAACAACAACAAAAAAATACTGATAATGAAAAGTATTGATTTCATTCAAATGCTACTTCAAGTGATGGTATTTTTAGTGTAATTTTGATTGTTGATTGTTGACTGACCTGCTGTCTTTGTTCATCTTCTGTCAGGGATTTGAAGCCAGAAAATATACTGCTGGACGATCATGGTTAGCAGCATCTTTTCTTTGTGATTGCTTATGAAATTTACTGGTTACTGTAATGGTAATTGGTATGACAATGGTAAAAAAAAAAATCTTAAAGGGATAGTTCACCCAAAAATGAAAATGCTGTCATTAATTACTAACCCTCATGACGTTAAAAAAAAAAATCTTAAAGGGATAGTTCACCCAAAAATGAAAATGCTGTCATTAATTACTCACCCTCATGACGTTCCAAACCCGTAAGAACTTCGTTCATCTTCGGAACACAAATGAAGATATTTTTGATGAAATCCGAGAGCTTTCTGACCCTCCTTAGACAGCAACACAACTGAAATGATGTCACATTGACTATTTTACAGATGTCCTTGCTACATTTCTGGGCCTGGGAACATTTCAGTTGTGTTGTGTCCCATTTTGGAACGACATGAGGGTGTGTAATTAATGTCAGAATTGTTATTTTTGGGTGAACTATCCCTTTAAAGAAAAGCTGTGTCACATGGAATGTCACATTCTAAAGTGTAGCACTTATGTTTGCCACAAGAGGGGGTAGAGTACATAATATTGTTTTTGAGCCATAAAATTCAACATCCACATTTATAACATACTGTCAGCTGTATGTGTCAATTTATTGAACTAGGGCTGTTAACAAAATACATTTTAATCAAATTAATTACAGGACATGCTGCAGGGTTCCCACATTCATGGACACCTCGAAATAGCGGGATTTTACAAATATTTGTAATATAAATTAATATAGTTTTTGTAAGTTTGATTTCAGCAGAATTATAATAAGAAATCATTATCAGGTAAAATCATAGAAATTAAATGATCAAAGTGTGGGAACCCTTACATTAATTGAAATCTTTCAAAAGAAGATAATTCAAATATATGATTTTGGCATATGAAATTACAAAAAAAGTTGCTTTTAAAGGTTAACTTAAGTTATTAGTAAAACTAACCACTGACCGACATCATTTAAGCTTGCTTATGGAAGAAGTAATTTAACAAAGCTGTGATGTTTCACCTCAGGTCATATACGTATATCAGACCTTGGCCTGGCTGTGCATGTACCAGAAGGTCAGACAATCAAAGGACGGGTGGGAACTGTGGGGTACATGGGTATGTATCTGTCTTTAATAACATAAGCAATATTAGCAGCAGCTGGAACAATCATTGTAACCTGAATATGCTTATGCCCCATCAGCCCCAGAGGTGGTGAAGAATGAGCGTTACACATTCAGTCCAGACTGGTGGGCTCTCGGCTGTCTTCTCTATGAGATGATCCAGGGCCAATCACCCTTTCAGCAGCGCAAGAAAAAAATCAAGCGAGAGGAAGTGGAGCGGCTAGTGAAAGAGGTGGAGGAAGAATATTCCAGCAAGGTCTCAGAGGATGCCAAATCACTCTGTAAAATGGTTAGTATCCAAACAATTATTTAATTCAATTCAATTTACTGATCGAAATAATAATTAATAGCAATTAAACACATACATCAGTATTCCTGAAAAAAAAATCCCCATTTTTTTCTGTCAAGTTCATCTTTTAAATGTGCTAAATGGAAACATAAGGAATGTTACAGTTTTAGTTGGCAATATTGTTCTGAGATGCTTGCAGAACACATTTTGAACATCTTAATGGGATAGTTCATGCAAAAATGAAAATTCTGTCATAATTTCCTCCCCTTCGTGTCAGGTGAACATATAATTTTTGTCCATACAATTAAAGTAAATGGGAACTGAAACTTTTTGGTTACATTCTTTCTTCAAAACAAACAAAACAAAAAAAAAGGTTATCACATGTTTGGAATGGCATGAGGGTAAGCGAATGATGATGGAATTTACAATTTTTTGTGTGGAAAGGAAAGATTTTATATAGTTGTTATTTGTTGTTGTTGTAAGAAGCTTAGTTATAAATTGTATTTTTTTCTTTTTTTCTGTATTAAAGCCTATGATGTTAATATGGTATTAAAACAAATACATAAAAACATTTTGAACATCGTAACAGTTGCCAAAAAGGTGTTAAAGATGATTTATTTCAGCAAGTGTGCGTTTTCTTCCTTAGCTGCTAGCCAAAGACCCTAATGAGAGGCTTGGCTGTCAGGGGGATGGAGCCACAGAGGTGAAAGCCCACCCTATTTTTCGTTCCATCAACTTCAAGCGACTTGCAGCAGGCATGCTCGAAGCACCCTTTATTCCAGATGTAAGTATCTTCTGAGATTCTAATTTGAACTAATTTTATTGGGAATATTAACCACAACTACTGTTGTTATTACTATTGCTTGTTCACTGTTTAAATAATTTGTTCACCCAAAAATAATAAGTCTGCCACATGTTCCAAACTCATTCAAACTTATTTTTTTCTTGGAACATAGAAATTTTGAATAATGTACCAGTCACTCTTTTCCTTGGATTTACGTTTATTGATAAAACACATTTGGGTAAAGAAAATAACAAAAGTCGGTTCAGAGTGTGACTTGCAAATGATTTCTTCATGAATCAGACATCGCTTCTTATTTTAATGAACGCACAAGCTTTTATGTCTGTCTCAGCCTCAGGCCATCTACTGTAAGGATGTGTTGGACATCGAACAGTTCTCCACAGTGAAAGGGGTGGAGCTGGAGCCCAAAGACGACTCCTTCTACAGCAAAGTATCCACTGGAAGCATTCCCATCCCCTGGCAAAATGAGGTCAGATCACTACCCAGAATAACCTCAGTAAATGTTTTACCCTGAACCCTGATTGACGATTTATGACCAGCATGCAATAAATAACATTGATTTTGATAATGTGTGCAAACAGACTTCAGTCAATGCAAATATGTGATATTTTTTCTTGACATGCATGCAACGTTGCCATTATGAAATTAACTGCCTTGTATAATTGGTCTGGTTTTAGGTTAACCCGACCCTGATCTGATGTGTTTCTTAACTTTACATAAGATGCATTCTTGCGAAATAAAATGAACAGGAACATAGAAATCGGCATGAGAAGCAACACAATGGCTGAAAGACTACTGTCTAAGGGCCTGATTTAATAACAGCTTGCGCCGACGCAAACCGTCTTTTGCCGTTAAAATAGTACTGTCAGGATTTACTAAAGATGCGCAGTGAAGAATTAGCACTGAAAAGGCGTGGACAGTTATTTTTGCGCCTGACCTTATTGAATATGCATTTCTAGGAGTTTCCCTTTCAGACGCAAAATTTATGGAAGGAGAGTATTAAAATGAATCACGCAATGCGATTTACTAATGTTGCGCTTGTCAAATTACTGGTATTTGCGCCATTATTTAACGCCCCAAAAAAGCATGTCTTAAAGCAGGCGGTAATTTGCGCTGCTCTTGGTAGATTGCGCTAGTCATTATGGAAATTATCTGGAAATGATCTGTGTTCTTTAATGTGCGCATTGCTCCCATCAGCGCTTTTATGGAATTGCGCTCTAACGCTAATTTGCCCAGTTTAGTAAAACTGGCCCTAAATGTGTATAGCTGTTGTGGAGTTGCTTGAAAATGGATGAATTTAAGTAGTGGCAGATCTTTTCATCTATATTGTAAAGTAAATCTGAATGCAAAATTGCAGTTAATCGTAAGAATTTCAGGATTGTAAGGTTAAGCAGACTAAATGATTAGAGAAGCCCAGCATACGTCACTAGAGAAAAGTCTGTTGTTTTATCGGTAGATCGGCTTATGACAATGTGATTAAAATTACTAGCTCAAAGTTTTAAAAAAAACGAAACAAAACAGTAATTTTGTGTCAATTACATTTCATTCATAGTTTCAAGATATTAGAATGTGAGGTAAATGTATATCTAACTTAACATTATAAATTAGTTTTAATATGAATAATGCCCGGTTCAGACTACACGATTTTAGCCAGATTTTGCCACGATTTGCTTGACGTAGGGTGTCGTGGGGATTTGTAAATGACAATGGGCGTCAGGATGCAAGATTCCATTGTTTCAGCATGTGTAGTGTGTCATAGTGGACGACAACCGATTCCGCATCTGCGATGCTTCACGACATCACGACAGAAAGACTAGCATGTTTAATTTGTTTTCCGTCGTCCATGACGAGTTCTGTCACATTGGTGACGTTGACCAATAGCAGCACAGAAGCTCTTTCATACACCGGTTTCCAACATGGCAAAATGAAAGAGATGATGGTGCTGCTAGGTGGAATTATGAGATCAAGGAAAGGTTCGTGGAGCTGTGGCAACAGTACTCCTGCATGTATGATGTGTCATCGAGGGACTACCACGACAGAACAAAGAAAGAAAAATGCTGGCGAACGATAGCAGAAGCGCTTCAGCAATGTTTACACTCTTGTTTTCAGAAGTCAGTCGCTAGTTCTGCCTTCTCGATGACATCACGCGCATCGTTAAAGACGGCACGCGATGAATGGCCGGGAAGCAACGTGTAGTCTGACACATTTATTGTCCACGACACCACAAGATTTTAGGAGTCAAAATCGTGAAATCTGACACAGTGACTATCGTGACCGACAAAAATATTGTGTAGTCTGAACCCGGCATAAGGGTGATAGGGACATTGTCATTTTAATTAGAATTTATTTTAATATTATTTAAATACTTATAGTTTATATTTAAGTGTATAGTGTATATAGTGTATAATATAAGTATATTACTTATTTACTTATAGTTTTAACAATTTTGAATTTACTTTTATTTTTATGTTTTCGGTTTTCATTTTAATTTCAGTTTTTTTAAGTTTGTTGTATTTTTATTTTTTTTTATTTTTTTTTTATACAAATATATCTAAATGGTTGTCACCATTTTTATTTTTAGTTGTATTTCAGTTAGTAATCCAAGTATAAATGTAGTTTTTCCTCTAATATGTTACTTTTCAGTTTTATTTCTGATAACAAAATAGTTTTTAATCGTTTTGATATTGGTTTACAATCACAGCAATGGACAGAATTCATAAAAATGCTAATTTAAGAGGGTTTTCAAAGTAGTTACTAGGAACTTTATAGTTTATACTAGGACCTGGTCACAACTTGCCCCTGTGACAACAAGCCCCATTTCTCCCTATATTAGTTTGACTTTAATTCTGAGTGTGTTATTTAATCGATCCATTCAGATGATAGATACGGAGTGCTTTAAAGAACTTAACATCTTGAATTTGGATGGCACTGTGCCCCCTGACCTGGACTGGAGAGGTCAACCCTCACCCCCACCCAAACAGGGCTTACTGCAAAGACTCTTCGGCCGGCAGGTGAAATTTCCTCACATCCTTCTATTATTTATATGCAGTGTTTTTGCTCCAAGGCATTATTGTTTGTTCAATTAGTAAATGAGGTTGTCAGCATCTGGTTGAACAGCTCTGCCAAAGTCTATCTGAATCTTTTTGTATCCTGTTTGATACTGAAATCGTATATGGCTTTGCAGGCGATTCTTGTAATGAAATAAAATATTAGTGTGCAGGTTTTCTTCCCCCTCTTCCTGCTGTAGAGGCCCAATCCCAAATCTATTTTATACCCCTACCCCTACCCCTATGCCAACCCTTTCCCCTTGTCCCTTGAAACAGAGTGTCAAGGGGTAGGGGTGAAAATATTCCCCTAAGAAATGGGACACCACTACTATACCGTTACACATCATCATATGTCGTCTAGCTTCTACAAGACACAACTATACTGGTGTGCTGGTGTGAATTAGAGCCTTTAATTAGTGTTCTATATTAATGCACTGCTTTTACTGACACACACATGCACACATATCGGAATTCACACAGCTCACACATTCAGGAGCAAAGAAACTTGTCAATGCTGCCCCGCGACTTTTATTAATAACGTAGTTTAAAAAACTGAATCGCTACATTATATTTTCCAGCAACGAGTGGATAAAATCGCTGTTTTTGAAGTAAGCTCACTCATTGTAAAGAGAGACGTACAGACGTGCGTACACGCAACTTTCATCTCTCTCTTTCAATTTGACCATATTTGAGAAAAAGGTTTAGCGATTTCTAATTATTGGGGGGACTAGCCCCCCTCAATGTCTATGGTGGTTATCACCCTGATCATACATGAAAATATGTTGTGGTACAATCGTGCTATCAATAATAATTTAACGCTAGCAAACTTTAGCGATTTTTTGCAAACATTTCTTTGAATAAAATGACCGTAAATATGAACACACGATTGAATGTAACATAAAACAAATGATTACTTTTCATTAAAATCTTTATTAATGCCAAAAAGTTATTACATTTATTGGTCTTTTTGTTCGCTCGTGCAGCCATGTTGCCGCTGTAGCCGGTTTATGCTGAGATAATTCTCATACCCCTTCTTTTGAATTGTGGTCCCGAAAAATCTTCGTTTGAAGGGGTATCTCGCCCTTCCCCCCACCCCTACACCTCCAACCAAAAGAGATTCGAGACACCCCTACCCCTTCACGTGAATACGCGAAACGGAGGGGTAGGGGTTAGTGTAGGGGTAAGGGGTAGAAATGGGATTGGGCCTTAGTCAGATACATGAAATGATTCGTGTAATATACTCTGATTACTAATGTAAAAATTTTTTGAGGTTTTTGCCTCAGTTTTATTTGGACCTCTAGGCACTCTTTAATCGGAATGTAAATGTAAACACAAATTTGTATTACAAAAAAGTAAAAAAGTATGCCTGTCATTGTGAAATGGTAGAAACATCATGTAATGGTTTGACGAATGCTATTTTGTTCCTGTGTTGAAATATTTCTTATCGAAACAGGAAGTTTCTGCTGGACATTGAAGGCTTTGTGCTTTTTTTCAAAAATAAATACATTTAAATTTAAGACACATTACCAAACCATTATTTGCTACTGTTAATGCTAGGCTAACTGTGTGTTTTCTAGGAAGAGAAAGTGCATTTTCAAAAGTGTACATCTGCTTAATGTTTGAGTCAACTTTTATTAGCACACTAGCATGACCTCAAAGCTAAGAGACAACCTACATTCTTTGATTCTTGATTCTTTTAATGCTATTTGAAAATGTCTGTGTTTGACTGTGCATGTGTTTATGCTGCCCCCGCAGGACTGCTGTGGTAATTGCAGCGACAGTGAGGAGGAGCCCACACGGCTGTGAAGGCGTGGCCTGGTTGTGGCTCCTCCCCTACACCACTGAGGATCTCATTTGTTTACAGTTTTTGCACATTTGTATTTTTAAGATAGCTCTATATAAACATTGGAATGTATATTTTCACTATATAGCCATGCAGTGTATCTTATATTTAAAGTCATCGAAAAGAAAAGGACAGAAAAAAGGGTCCCAATTATCATCCTTTATCATGGGTGACGTATGGAAAGGACAGATCGTTCAACACTGCTCAAGTCTCAAACTCGGTTGACCCAACCGATCCTGTACATTTCGTCAGTATGTCTTGCAGCCTCTTTGCGCTTTTTTTCTTTTTTTGTTCTTATACGATTTCACACACATGTACAGTATGCACTCTGAATATTTGTTTTAGACGCGGGGAGCAAAGGAAATTTGCTTTTGCAGATATTTTTATATTTATATTTTGAATTTTATTTTCTTATGGTAATCTCGACAATCAAATGACACCATTTGTATAAAACAGTGATAAATGTGCATTAATAGAATTTTAAAAAAAGCAAAAACAGGAAGTGACTATAAAACAGAGGGAAATTTTAACATCATAAATTCTCTACCAGAAGTCTCAAATATGTAAGGTTACTTAGCTAGAGATACCTAGAAAACCAAATAGACGTGACTAAAGTGCATATATGTACAATAACAACAACAGTTGTACCATGTTGTAAATATGCGACACTCATCTGTAAAGTCTTCAGCACGTCTTCCTGCTAATTCTTCTTTGGATAATTAGGAAAAACATCCTGATTATAGTCCTGTGTGGCCCATATGTTACAAAATGAGTCGAATCATGAGGCATTATTTTCCATTTACGGTAAATTTCACAACATGACTGGTAACGACATGACAGTAATTTGTCATTCCAGCTCTGAAGACCGAAAGACTTTAATTAAGGCCTGTTTCACACTGCACACGTAAGCAGAGCGTAAGCAGCGCATATATTTTCTTGGCACTCATGTTACCAGATTTGAACATTCACACTGGACGCCGAGGCAATGCGTAGCAGAGCAGAAGCAGCAGTGCCGCAAATATTTGCTTCACTGCTCACGCAGTATTTTTGGCCAAAATATGCATGTTGACATGAAAAATTAACAAATTTACCATAAAATTATAAAAGTGATGTCTACTGTGTTTCACACAGTTATCAAATGACTTTCAGCACTGCGAGGGGAAAAAATTAAATCCCTGAAAATGCAAGGAGTTTGTTTGCCCAAACCTCAAAGCATGGTTAAATAATTACAGTTTTTCTCAATCGATTTGACACTTTGTGACACACACTCACTGTTCTCAAAACAATTAACACCGTGATCTGAAAACTTTATAATTGTCCTAAACAGATTGTACGATTTCATTCATTTCATACAAATTACAAATCATGCAAATAATTTTCTAAAAACAATGTGCACAAAACTCTCAAATGTTTTCACAATAGTTAATACAACCAACCAATACTTTAAAATAGCTGAAAAAAGGTTTTACACAAATCACAAACACTTATGTACCATTTGTCCAAACACAACAAACAAAACTCTGTAATTTGCCATTCTATCAAATGAACATGGTATATTTTCGATTGGCCCTAAACTGATAACTGTTCGGTTAATCATACACTCAACACAGGAAATGCAGTTTTCCTAATCATTTACAAATTTATCACAGTTGCTTTAGAGTAATAATAAAAGGGAAAGTATACAAAGAGCAAGAACAAATATGCAAAAAATAATAATAATAATAAAAATAAAAAAATGATGAAGATGTTGAGACAGGAGCTTGTCAAGCATGGATTCAACTTTCTTAAATTTTTTCTCCTAGTTAGATCAAATGTAATGAAATTCTCTTCCAGATGTAAATGAAAGGCAAGATCAATAAATCAGGATAATTCATGTATACAGCAAACACACACGTGTGTGTATATACAATGGTGGCCAAACTTATTAGAACACTAGTATGTATATATATATATATATTCATGGGTGACAGCAGGTGTTGGATAACAATTTTTATTTCGTTTAGATATACACGATATATATAAAACAATACTCCCTGTTGAGGAATTGCAATAAACATGTATTTTCATTAGCATATTTGTGCATCTACAGCTGAATGTGTTTTATAATCAATAGAGAACACACCTATAGATTTGATGTTAATATTTACTTTTAATAAATGCATTACTAGAAAATAATTGCAGTGCTTCATTTTGCAGTAAAGTTGAACTGTTTGGTTAAGATAATTTTGTGTTTGGATGGCTGTGCTAATTGTTTTGAGAACAAGTACATTGCATTGGAGAAAAGTGTCAAATCGATTGAGCAAAACTGTACATGATTAGAGATATAGCTTAAAGGGATAGTTCACCCAAAAATGAAAATTCTGTCATTAATTACTCACCCTCATGTCGTTCCAAAACCGTAAGACCTTTGTTCATCTTCGGAACACAAATGAAGATATTTTTGATGAAATCTGACAGCTCTCTGACCTTCCATAGACAGCAAGGATATTAACACGATCAAGGCTCAGAAACGTAGTAAGGACATCAGTAAAATAATCCATTTACGGTTCAACCGTAATTTTACGAAGCTACGAGAATACTTTATGTGCGCAAAAAAAACAATAATAACATAATTTATTCAGAAATTCTTCTCCCCGAGTTACCGTCTTCCGCCATTTTGGAGAGTATCCCAGAACGCAATTGTTCATTAATTGTTTTCTTTGCGCACAAAAAGTATTCTCGTAGCTCCGTAAAATTACGGTTGAACCACTGATGTCACATGGACTATTTTACCGATGTCCTTACTATGGCTCTGTGCCTTGATCGTGGTAATATCCTTGCTGTCTATGGAGGGTCAGAGAGCTCTCGGAATTCATCAAAAATATCTTAATTTGTGAAGAATGATGAACGAAGGTCTTACGGGTTTGGAACGACATGAGGGTGAATAATTAACGACAGAATTTTCATTTTTGGGTGAACTAACCCTTTAAGTTTAAAATAAATTTTACTATAAACTATATTTAATATGGTATGTGTGGAAAGGGAAAAGTGTAGCATCACAGTAGAGTATGCTGCCCATTATAAATGAAAGCATGTGACAAGCGTGGTCAGAGGAGTCCACCTAAAACAAGCAAAACAATGGACGACACTCGCCTTACCCATTCTTGATTTTTTTTTACTGTAGAATACAAGCCACATTTCAGATGCCGGTGTGAAAGCACAACGAGCATGTGCTGTTTCCGCTCTTTATATGCGCAGCTTTCGCACTGCCATCGCTCTTCTTATGCATCCAGTGTGAAACAGACGTAATACTACACTGATGCTCAGCACATCATCATCACTTAACAGTTCAACATGCTAATAGACATTAGAAGTGTTATTTAATGTTTTAAAAGTAGATATGCGCAATTTTAATGGGCTGCGTATAATTTAATTGCTGCTTTTTTTATATGTAGGTCAAACAAAAATGAATTTGCCAAAAAGAAATGTTTTGTTTTGTGTTATATATCCCCTGCAAACACAATAAGCTCTTTACATTTTCAGTTGCTTGGAAACATGATGTCTTGGGAACTTCGTTGTAAATTTGATCTTGATTGATGCACTTAAGACCAAACCAGTTCAATTTTTGTCCTCCATCTTCATAGAAGGTGCCTTTTGAAGTATTAAGGTACTCATCATTAGGGATTTTTATTCAAATGTTTTTGAGTTAGCTTAGCATTTTGTGCACACACTTTCTATTTTCTTTGCTGTTGTTTTACCTCAAATATTACTGTGCCCTGTGGATGTAAATGTTATTTTTTTTCCCAAAACTTGTGAATTCTTATGTTGGACATCGTAGTAACTCGCAAAAGCTTTTGGACTTTGTATTGAAGCCTAGCTGAATGCGTAACATCGGTGACCTTCCAACTCAAGGGTCTATAAAACAGGAAGTCCATGGAAGCACCATCAGCTAATGACATGGTGGATCCTTGACTGTCAACACATTTCTCATCCATCTGCAGTTTACGTTAATTCTCTTGGATAAACTCAAATACATTCCAGTCTCTACCGCACTGTACAGTTGTAAATTTGATTTCGTTTTTTTTTTTTTTTTTTTTTTTTTTAAAAAAATTGTTTTTAAAAAAACTCTAGCTTTCTATTCTACTTGTTTTTCTTTGTTTGTGTATATATATATATATATATATATATATACACACACACACCTTGCTACGTGTACTGCGTTAGGCTAACCGAGACTTGTCATTTGCACTTATATATTGTTGCTCATT